CCATATTTTTCAGCCATTATTCCAGCTTATTTTTTTCATTTTTTTTTTATCCGTGTAAACTTGAAGCGTGTTTTTTTTAACCTTATTTTTTCTTTTTACTAAATTCAAGCAGTTTTTCTATTCTAAATCAGCACTGGGCCCATAACCAATTGGAGGTATATGGATCTTCGAAGCACAAAAACAAAAGTTCCATCAGGATTACTTTTAATAAAAATACATTGGTTTTCAGAAACAGGATTTCACTTTTTATATATGACATTACAATTACAATGTGACAACTACTATGACATACCTGCTCAATGATCAGCATTGTCAACTTTTATTTTGCTACAAAAGTGAAGCGTCGTTCCCACAAGCATTTTTTAATTTTAAATAGGCACTAGCTAACGTCACACATATAAATTCCTTCCGATGAGGGAAAAACAAAGCGCTTAAGTAATATTACAGCACTGAAAACTGATGATAAAAAAGGTCACTGCGCGGGACTTGTCTGAAAAGGTAACAGCTTCATTTGCAATGTCATTTGAGAAATATCGTTTGTTTGTCCCATTGAGATAGGTTTGTCTCAATAACGTTTTTCCCCTATCGAAAGTGTCGTTATATAGTTTGTGACGTAATATCTAGCACCTGTGTCTATAAATACTGCTTTAAACGCTTTATTTGTCCCCCCATCGAAAGTGAGGACATGTATGTGACGTCCGCTAGATGGCTAGAGCCTAATTCGATTCTTTTTTTTAAACCTGAACTGTCATTTTTGAGATGTTAATTTCCAAATGCTTTTTGACTGGTATCAAACCTGATCAAATAGGCTAGAAGGTTCTTCCATAAAGAAATGCTTCTTATTCTAAGACGATAAGAGATAGTTAGGTATATAGGAAGATTCACATAATCAGAAAGATAATTCCAATACTTTTATAAATGATTTATTATTCATTAGATTAACCTACGCCACCCTGTATAATATAATATTAAGAAGACTAGGCAACAGATTATAATTTCTCTAGCTTTGATAATAACTCATATTTCAATTCATTATTTTTTTAAACAGTGCAAGAGGATGTTCCTATTTATATTAATTTTATTGGTCATTCTCATGGGTAGTCCAACAAGCGCGCCTGCTCGGTCAATAGTAGCCAAACCGTTGAACTTATGGAAAAATGTTCTGTATAAAAGTTTTAGCATTTCATCTCTGCTATAACCCAAAATTATTTTCAAGTATACAGGGTTTTTAAAAAAAAGAGTAATCACAAATTTTATGTTTTTTTTTTTAATAGAATACCATATATTTTTATGTGGCAAATGAAGCCTCTATATGCTCTGTATTCAACTTTAAAATCGTATTTGGCTTGAATGCAGCGTTGCCAAGTTATGATTTTTCGAAGAAAAAAATAGACCAAAACATACTTTTTTAAAATTGTCATATCTCCGCCACTGTACATAAATTTCCCTTAAAAATTTACATGTAATCTGATGTTAGCCTAGTTGCTCCTACATTATCTTCATTTTTTGATTTAAGTATACAAGGTGTCCAAAAAAAATGTCTAAACACGTAAATTTAAAGTCCACTTCAATGGAGTTCTTCAAATACAACACCCCGTATATTATTTTTCTATCGAGAAGCTGAAGATGTCCTCTTTCAGAAAATATCATATTTGCCGTATCTATCTCATTAATATTTTGTGATATTAAGATTTTCCTTTAACTTTGCACTAAAAACGGTAAAAAGTGAAGTAATTTTGTAGTTTTACCTGAAAAGTATTCCGGGAGTTTTGAAAATTTTATAGGTTTAGACGTGTTCTTTCCGAATTTCTACTTTGCCACCTCGTATTTATGCTTTTCGCGCCGCCATATTGAAAAATTTCACCAAAAAACAGGTTAAGGCTTATAACAAGCATGTTCCTGGGATTGGCTTCTTTCACATCCACAGCCGTTAAGTAGGGCTGCTCCAGATGGATGAGTCTTCTGCGGCACAAGGCCTCACAGTTGCAAAGTATGTGTTCCGCAGACTCAGAAGAGGCATCTTCACAGAAGCGGCATAGGTATGATTCTATTTTACTCATTTTTTCCAGGTGTACTAACCCAGAGGGCAGTGACCTGTAAGCAGCTTTAGACCCGCTTTTCTAAGGTCAATCATTTCCTCTGCCTTCAATGACTGGGGCGAGATGAATTTGCTTCGGTTTCGCCTGTCTTAGTCCTGAAAGCGTGTTCCAGCGGGAGGCTTGTTGAACCTTTACTCAATTCTTGACTTCTCCTATTACATGGCCTTGCGTAATGCCAAAGAAAGATTATGGTCCAAAGAATGGTGCTGCAGGCACTTGTTTTGCAAGTTGGTCCGCTATTTCAGTCCTCCCGATTCCTTGGTGCCCTGGTACCCATAACAGGGTGCTTTGGGAGTTGTCGACAGTTCCATATCACTGGACTTACTGACAGAGCTACTCAGAGCTCTAAGTGCTGCCTGACTGTCGGAATTGATATATAGATCTTCGCTCTTCGCAGGTCTCTTGCGAGACACTTTCAAGCGCAAAAATCTCTTGCGAATATTTCCGCTTGAGATATGGTTGGGCTTTCTCCTAGGGCTGTTTATAGTCCACAAAGTTTTTGTTCCGTCTGTATACCAGTCAGATGACTCGTTCGGAAATACAGGTACGATATTTTCTCTCTTGCGGCCCTCAATAGTCACTTTGAAAGTGTTCACATTCGTACCGGTGTTGCATGTGGTCAACTGGTTTTGTCTTCACATTTATGCATTCTTTCATAATGCTCATGTGGCCGACAAAGTCCCCTTCCTTTCGGGACCGCATTATTCTCGAGGCACATGACCTCCATTGCGGCGATTGGACAGGTATTCATTGCATTTAGGTTGGGGCTGTTAGATTTAGTCTCCTTCTCCTCGTAAAATGTACAATTATGGTTTTTTTGTTGGAGTTGAAACTTAAACCCTTCTGTAGACTCCATCTAATAATGACTGTGAGGTCGTCAGCATATCCTAGAACCGTGATTTCTTGGCTGCTTAGCGCGATGAGAAGTTCATCTACTACCAGTGACTAAAGCAGTGGGGACAGTAAGGGTACTGCACAACGGAGCTGTGATACAAACTTGTAGCCTGGATGATAGATCATAGCTGAAATTATAAGCGCTTATAGGTGTGCACAACGGAGCTGTTGTAACAAAATCAATAGCAAATTGATAATCTCGATTCAATCTCATCTTTCTTGGGAAAAGTTTTATTTTTATAGATAGTTAAAATGTGATCCTATTGGATTTACAAACACATGGACCAACCACCTAATCTGGAAAAAACTAAGAGCAGGTGAAGCGCTGTCCTACGGACATAAGGAGTAGGACGCGCCATTCTGCTTGTGTTTTGCACCAAAATACAGGTAAAGTATTGAATTGCCTATACCGTCATTTTTTGGTGCCAAAATACCTGAAAAAAAAAGACTTCATTTTCCAACTCTATTTTATAGCTTCAAGATTATTTTGCTCAACCCTAAATTGACAAATATATAGGCAAAATTTATGTTTTCCTAGATAAACACTAAACTTTAAAATAATCTGTCGCCTGAACCAGATCCCATGTGGTTGTAATGATTTATTCAAAGTTAAGTATAATCTTCTGAATACCCACGTTTTATAAGGAACCCAGATGTCAGGTAACTGGTACCGTTGCTGGAAAGAAATTATATTCGAAGCATGTGTGTGTGGAGCGAAGCAATGATTACATGAGCTGGATTTTTAAGATACAATAACAAATTGTATAGCGATATAATTATCTAGGGTTATTACTTGGGTGAAATGTTAACTGCAAGATAGTCAAATGCTTAGTTATAATTAAGATATAGGTAGGTTAAGATAGGAGTGATTATTTAATTATTTTATTATTGAATTATTAGAGGATAGTTTAATTCATTTCACACCCTTGATAATTAGGTTAGAAATTAGAGAACTTTTATTTTATTCACTTGATTAGGTTAGAAATTAGGGAACTTTTATTTTATTTACTCGACTAGGTTAGAAATTAGGAATTAACAATAGAAAGCATAGGTAATTAGAAAAGGGAAAGGTTTTCAATTAAAAGGGAAAACATTGTTCAATTATTAATTTGACCACATGTAACTAGCGAACTCTGTTGCAGAGCCATCAAACTGGATCACAGGGTGGAGCAGTTTGAATGGGAACACCACAAGAAACCTGAGGGTATTTTCAGCGAATCGCTGAAACCTATTCCTATTCTCAAGCATGGCTTCAATCCATGCAATTGCCCTTATTCCTAGCCGCTCTTCTTATGGATTTATGTGAGGTTTTATCGAAAGCTCTACATCAATGAATGCCCATAGAGCGGTTTCTTGACGTGAGTGTTCCCTTTCAATCTCAGTGACAAGTCTGTGTAGGGCTGTCTCGGTTGATTTACCTGGCTGATAGTGAAATTTATTCTTTTGAAGCGGGCTTCAAATTTATTCTTTTGAAGCGGGCTTTCCATTAGGAATTCACTCTTGATGTGTAGATCAATGATTTCCTCCATAGCTTTTAGGAGAAATGAGGTTAGGCTAATTAATCTGAATGATTTGGGCGCTTTTGCTGAAGACCACATTCACATCCCGCCAACTGGTAGAAATGTGGCATAATTTGAAGCTAGAATTGAACATTTTTGCTAGGTGATTCCATCTTCACCTAGTGATTTGTAGGGCTGGAAGCTGTTTATACCCTATTTAATTTTTTTTTTGGTAAATTTTCTTCCGGCTAGGCTTTTAGTGCGGTTGGTCAGTCGCGGAACATTTTTCACCACCATAGCCCTTTTTCCATAAGGTCGCCACTCGATAGACACTGGGAAGTGCAGAATGCAGTTGTACACTATCCAGTCTGTGAGATAGGCATAGAAAGTACCTAATAAAGAGACCTTACTTGGAATTGAAGTACAAAATCGAAAATGTAGAAATATACATGGGATCATTTATCTGCCAATAAATCATAAATAACACAACAATTATTATATATTCTAGGTGCCTTTCGCCATTGTTTATTCCACCATCCAGAGGACCGACCCCGGACAGCGCCTTATCAGCACCACCAGCTAGTCCATTAGGGGCTATCCAGCCGGATTTGTACCTAAAAAAAGACGGGCCCCTATTTATAGGCTGCGATGCTAGAAAATCAGGGGGTGCCAGTTTGGGCAGACTTCATTTTCGATTGAGCTATGATTTTGATCGATCGGATTTTATCGTCCATTTAATAGAAGGTAAGGACGTACCATTACCATTTATGTATAAAGACAAAATAAAAAGCATTGCACATTATTGGATAAGCGGGAGCTCTAAAGACGTATTTGCCAAATTGTCAGAGAAGAATCGGCCTTTGGAGAAATAATGAGAAGATGTAATATTAGTTAGCTCACTTTATCTGGGGTGTAAATTGGTGAAAACGGTATCCATCAAAAACCCATTTCTGTTTTAATTTAATCAATAACAACTCGATGATGAGTTTTTTTTTTCATTTAGTCTAGTGATATGACTACACTGAATTAATAGCGACATATTATAATATCTCAGTTTTTATTAGTGAAAATGTCCGCTTTTAATTAATTATTATTATTTTTTCTCTAGCTCATGATTTAGCTGGAAGCGATCAAGGAGGTTTTAACGATCCCTACGTTCGTGTGTTCCTCATTCCCGAAATTGATACGAGAAAAAGGCAAACGACCATCCATAGGAACGAAATAAATCCCGTGTTCAATGAAATATTTAAGTTTCCGGTATCGCACGAGGAATTGAAGTCGAAATCGTTGCTCTTGCAAGTTTTTGACTACGATAGATTTTCAAGAAACGATATCATTGGAGAGGTAATTGAACGTATTTTCTCACTGTGACTTTTCAAGAACTATTTTAACATTTAAGGCGTTATTGAAATTAATTCAGAACAAAAAAAGATATAGCATTTCACGATTTTTTAAATTAAAAAAAGTATCTTTCTGAGTTAGTTAATAGTTGAAAGATTAGTCTAGATACGCAATCAGTGGCATGCGACCAGTTTTCATCAAGCCAGCAGCTTGCTTCTTTTCAAGTCTTTGACGTAGAACAATAACCACAAGGAAAGTTACCCCGAAAACACGTTTTATTTTAATTTTATTATAGGTCGGGTCATTAATGTACTTACATGATTTTCAATATTCGGTTAAAATCATGTTAATACTTGGTTCACTAGTTTCAGTTAGGTTTCTATCTTATTTTCTTGTCTTTAATGATTTGGAGGAGTAATTAAAAAGTAGCTGCGTTGCTTCCTTTGTACAATATTACGTATAGAAATATCTAGAAAAATCGTCAAGGAGGAAATTTTTGCTTAACCTCAAGTATACAGGAATCTAGAATTTTTCTTTTAGGATTCTACTTAGGCTTGTGTTTGCATAAGCATTTTTTAATGCCTTGTTAACTCCAGATATATTATGAAATCTTTTTTATGATAACTAGTTCCAAAATTTCGGAAGAATCTGAAATTCTGATAAAAAATACCATCTTCTGATAAACTTGCTGGTAACTATCTACAAAACAAATTTATCAATCTAGAATCTTAGTGGTTTTTATGCCTCAGATTGCATTACCTGTTGACAGTTTATCAGAAGGTGAATAAGCCCGGGGCCTTGAGAAATAAAAAAACTAGTTTTCTTTCTTGAAAAATAAAGTTGCTGGACTAGAACTATGTATAAATTGATTGAGGTTACGAGTTTTTCAATAAATAATTGATAAATCCTTGAAAGAGAAACATTTCTACCGGCTATATTTGGGTTAGTTGTAGATACATAATTATCCTTTTCTATTTAACTGAACATTTTATTTTTCTTTCAGGTTTCAATGGCACTAACGGATTACGACTGCACAAACAGCATCGAAATCTGGGGCGAAATTACGAAAAATAAAAAACCGCCAGAAGAAGTTCAAGAACTCCTTATTTCTCTCATGTACTTACCATCAGCTGAAAGACTCACCTTGAGTTTGGTAAAAGGTCGAAATTTATTTATTCCTCAGGAAAAAGAATTTATTGGTAAGAACTATGGGTCTAAGAGCTGGCGATTGTTTTAGTTACAGTATTTCAGAAGACTCCTATTTATTATTGGTCAAGTTTTTTTGCGTCGGAAAGAGGTGATAGAAAGTTGTTGTAAGATCGGGTTAATATTTAATTTCTCAACAGGTTATAAAAACTTCAGATCAAAAACTTGGTGTGGTACAACACTTTACTTTTTGAACTGTCATCACTAATGATCAAGAGTTCATCAGAACTTTTGAGAACGGTCGCTTGTATAACCGGGCTTTAGTCGAAAGGCTAAGGAAATGTCAGAAAAATATGAGCTTAACTGAAATACCTACCTAAATAAAACAGTCATCAGCAGCCTGTCCATATCGAAATCTGAAACAACAACTGAACTGAATTTTTTTCAGATCCCTTCATTAAAGTTTATCTAATAATCAATGGGAAACGCACAAAGAAAAAAAAATCGTCCTGTAAAAAAGGTAATTGTAACCCTGTATGGAATGAGGCTCTAATGTTTAATTTGCCTTCATCGAGTACACAAAATACTGAATTGGAGGTACCTACCGACTTATTCACTGACTGAAATTATTTTCTACTCATATTCTTCTAGATATGTGTATTTGATCAAGGCAACGATATAATGGGAAGTAACCCTTTATTGGGATGCTGTACAATAGGACCAAAAGCGAGCGGAACTGGAAAAGAGCATTGGAACGATATGATCCAGAGTCCGAGAAAAACTGTATTTTGTTGGCACACGATAAGGTAAGGAGTTTTTAGAATTATCCTGATTTAGTTTGCTGATGTGTCTCTTTTTAGGACTGTTGCAGAAACTGACCAAAGCAAGTAGATAACAATTGTCTATAAATAATTTAAACCAAAATTATCACCTATTTTTAAATCAAAAGAGTCCTTTTTACAAAAAATAGCAAATACAGGTAAATGAAATGAATATGCTTTAGAAAACAATCAACAGAAATATTTTCCCACAAAAAAAAATATTTTTCTTATTACAATCAAAACTTATTTTTATTATTGCCTGAAAGCGTAAAAATCTTATGTAACTTTTACAAGATGGAAATTCTTCTATTTTTTTTACTCTTCTAGGAAACACATACTAAGGTGAAATATTTTGAACACATTATATTTAACCAAAATTTATACGCTTATAATGTTATAGAAAATATGTAAAATATTCTAACCCTAAATATGTGAATGCATTTATGACGTTGAAGCTCATTGGGGGACAAATAAAGTACCTAATTGAATTAGTGGTAAGAAAACAAAAAAAATGTTTATTGTATTATTGAACGAAAAAAAAAAATTACTTATGAATAGTGTAAGTTTTACCTTCTAAAAAATTATTGACAATCAATTTCATTTAATTGCAAAAGAACTGGTAATTAAACAGCCAATAACTCGTAAGACCGATTCTCATCTTAAGCGACATCGAGCAGCGTGGAACAACAGAATGGTTTTGACAATAATTTAATGAACAGAAACTCTTTTGGTCAGTCTTGCTGATGAAATCATTAACTATGATTTTGTCGCATCTGCCCAGAAACTATTATGATGTGTTGGCAGGCGGTACTTTACTCTTGGTGACAAAAATTTATGTGAATCCTATTTGCGATTGTGAGTATAAATCAACTAGGGGTGTAGAGAGGGGTGTCATTGTGAAACAGAAATAAAGCAATCATATACAATTTGTTGCAGTAACTACTCTCGGCAGCTTAAAGCACAAATGGGAAATGATGCGAAATCACTCCCAAATCCATAGGTTAAGTTCTGGGGCTTGAATCACGTTATTGAAATAAAACAAGCCCTGTTACATAATACAAAAGAAAAATTTAATAAATTGTTAAACAAAAACATCAAAAGTGTAAACAAAAAGAGTTCCTTTGACATATTAAACTTAAAAACGAAAAATGAAGGACCAGCCTGTTTAATGGAAATAAACTAAAAAATAATAACAAATTTACAGTAAGTGTTAAATCAGGCAAACTCAATTACTGTATTGATTAGTTGTTAATTTACGAACAATATGAACTATTTGAAGAACTATTGTTTTGCGCCTCTGAAACAAGGTTCGATACTTAAACCATAGGTTTTAAACATAAAATGTGTGTCGTACATTACCCCTTTGTCCTTGTCCTCAACCACCAGCCATGAGGCTGATGACAATTAGCCATAGCCTCGAACTCATCGCTGACCGACTCCACCTTGATATGAGAGCCTCAATGTTGAGAACCTTTGAGAACTTTTGAGGTAGCAGAAGCCCTGCACTGCTTATTACGCTTAAGCCACTGACACAAATAACTTTTTATAGGCTATTCACAATAGGTTTTTTTTTTACCTTGCAAAAACGTCCTTTAGATTAATTTAATTAATGATACCGAAGCTGTGTATAGAAACCTTTATGTGATATCTGTACTAAGTTGAAAATGCATTTAGGTATCTACTTAGTCGGGAATTACTATAGAGATTTAACTGAATTGATTGAGAATCAGAGACAAGAGATTTAGCGACTAATAATTGAGAGAAGGGTGAAAATTGCGTTTTTTATCGCAAATCAAAATGCACGACGCTTATCTGCTCGTTTCTCTGCAAGCACTTGTACAGACAGTCACTGCCTGGCACCACCCCGAGGATGCATCGCGGAAGGTCGTGCAGAGTTGAGGGAGAAAATATTTATCGTTGGATTGCCTAATAGAGATTGCTAAGCTTGGGGAAGAGAACATAGTTTGGTTATGTTGCGAGTGAAAATGCCATTTCTTGCTTTTATCTTGGCAAGTCTTACATTATCATCTTTCCCAGGGATAATCTCTAACACTTTTGCAAGAGGCCATTCTGAAGGTTTAGTATGCTCTAGGGTTGTTACAAGCTACAGAATTATGTAGTTTGCTACACAATTGGACCTTCGATTACACAGGTGCACCCCAATAACCAAGTCGAGATCTGTGGGCCCAGATTCTGAACCCACGATTCAATAGTATCGCCCATGAGGTCTGTTTCAGCAGAAATCACAAACCAGTCAGAGTGAATTTCATTGGTTGAAACTAGTTTTCTGAGTGTTTCTGTCCAATGAAATTCGCTCTGACTGGTTTGTGATTTCTGCAGAAACAGACCTCATATAAATATAAGGTCTGTTTCCACAGAAATCACAAACCAGTCAGAGCGTTTTTGATTGGTCCAAATCGCCAACAACCAGTTTCCCGATTATTTTCTCCCAATGAGATTCGCTGTGCCTGGTTTGTGATTTCTGTGGAAACAGACTTATAGATAGACGTTACTATCGAATTGTGGGTTCTGAATTCGGGCACTAGTTCTGTAGCTGTGCTCGCGAAGCAAAAGATGTTGCGAGCGTCTGCTGTCAGATGCCTATTTGATTGTCAGATTGACAGTGCACAATTGCTTGAATTGCTACACAATTTCAATGTGGAAAACTACACATTCAAAAATTGGTCTGTAACAACCCTGGTATGCTCATCTTTTAAACAAACTATGTCATTGACATTGAGGTAAGTCTGTTGATAAATCCATTTTGGTCTATGCTGGAGTTGGTTGAGATAGTCCGTCGACCATCTATTCCAAAAGCCCTTCTGAATTTGTGAGATTCTCTGCCAGCGAGTTAATCTATTGATTGGTGTGTCAGTTAATTCCTTCTCGGGATGATGTGAGGGAAGTTCTTATTAGAAAATGTCCAGGGGTAAGACAATCAAAATGATCTGAAGAGAGGGGTTGAAGTGGCCTTGAATTGAGAACAGCTTCAATTTGAGACAATACTGTTGTAAATTCCTCGAAGGTAAGATGTTGTTCCCCAACTAACGGTTTCAGATGGTATTTGACACTCATAACGGCCACTTCAATGTGAAGAGAGTGAGGAAATGAACTTCCATTGAATTTCATTTGAAGAGAGAAAGTTGTTTATGTCTCACCGAGTTTAATCAGAATGAAGGAGATTATAAATGTCCTTAATTTGATTATTTGTACCCTGAAAATTTGTGCCGTTGTCACTGAAGATCGTTGAAGGGCAGCCTCTCCTCGAAATAAAACGCTTAAGGCACGCTAAAAATGCTGGCGTCGAAAGGCTTGAGACTAAATCTAAGTGCACAGCCTTTGTGATCATGCAAACCATAACTGCAGCGTAAGCTTTTTCTATCTTTGAACTTCGCAGAGTAGATGATTTGACCAAAAACGGGCCGCCGAAGTCTATAGAAGAATTTGAAAAGCAACGGGATGGAGTGACTTTTTTCTTGGGAAGTCGGACATGATTTGTTGATGTGACTTGGCCTTGAATCTAGAGCAAGTGAAGCAATGGGAACTTCCCGCCTTTTGACGTGTCTCGCAGAACTAGAGAAAGAGAGCTTAATTGTAATCAATACAATTCTAAAGTAATAGAAAATGACATGCGCGCGCAACTCGTGGTTGCAGTGTAGCCAGATTGTATTGTTGCAGAACAAATGTAGACAATACAAATCGAACATTATAACATTAAAGAAGTGATATATTGTCAAGTGTTTTAGAACGCCTTAAATCAGACAAAAGAAGAGCTTTACAGTGTATGTTAACATCGATGGCACTCTTACCCTGATAAATGTTTCATCCGGCAACATCGCAAAATGAAATTCCAAAGGAATATGTCAAGTATAATCTAACATAACCTTAAACGACACTGCGATAAGTTCAAGTAATACGTAAAGTGTTAGTTTGCTTCTTGTCGAATTAAACGTTACAAAGAAAGAAGGAACGATCAATTCGGAACTCGTCCCTGAATACGAATATGATGAAAATCGAGTTTGTTACAGAACTCGATTTTCATTGGACGCTCACCTGCAAGCCACGAGTTGCGCGCGCACACCAGGTATTACGAGACAAGTCAATGCGCGCGAAAAGTGACGTCACATGACTGGGAACAATAGTCTCCCAATCTGTCGTCAGAACTAGAAATTAATAAATTAAGGGGGTTTAATGCTGTAATGGAGTGTGGTCGGGAAATTTTAAACCGGCGCCACAGGAATGCAGTCGTTTCAATCTGCTTCGACAGCAGAGCCGCTATCAGAGCCATTATGGCTGACACTCTAAGCTTGTAATGTAGTGCAAAAAAGAAGACTGGTGAGTGCCGGCTGCCGGGTCCGCCTCGTCTGGGTGCCCGGTCACTCCGGCGTCGCGGGCAACGACGAAGCTGATTTACTTGCCAGACAGGGATCGTCGATGGCACCTGTGGGCCCTCAGCCCACGCTGGGCATAGCCAAATGTGAGGCTGTCACGTCCCTCAAGGGTCTCCTCGTGGAGCGATTCCTTGGGAGATGGATAGGGGCACCTGGCATGAGGCAGGCTAAGGCTCATATTGATGGGCCCTCTGCCTGTCTCCCCAAACAGCTACTGCGCCTGAACAGACGCGAGATACGGCTAGTGACTGGTCTCCTAACCGGACAATAGCACCTAAGACGCCATCTCCACAGCATGGGCATTACGGACGACCCGGAATGCCGCTGGTGTATGGAGGAGGAGACGGCAGACCACGTCATCGGTGAGTGCCCTGCACTCACGCGCGCGAGGTTGAAACACCTGGGCAAGTTGTATTGCTTGCCCGATCACGTCAAAAAGATGAAGCCAGGGTGCCTGATTGGCTTTTCTAAGGACATAGGCCTCTGGTAGAACTCAGTGGGGCACGACCGACAACGGGTCCACCACAGGAGACCTATGTGCACTACTGTCGCGGCCGCCCACTCTTTCATTCATTCATTTATTCATTCAATGGGGTTTAATGACATTGAAATCTGTCAGTTCAGTTTTAATTTTTTGGGAAAAAATAAATGTTTGTCTAGTTGCCTATTTTTTAGGGTCGTTATGGATTATTTCCGTTCGTCTCTTATTGGCTGGAGTCCTAATACGTCATGAGGGCGCGAAAACATCAATTTCAAATAATGGCAAAAATTCAATCTTAAGGCCTCGTTAATGGCCGCCATGTTTAAATTTAGTTTTCGAAAATGACGAATGCGCCAGTCTACACATACGGTTCAATATTTTATTTTTTGTCCAAAATAAAATCTGTTTGTCGGTGAAACACTTAGTGAAAGAGAAAGACAAATATACAATTATGATGCTCCC